ACAGCATTAATACTAAATAAAAAAACGGACACATTCAAAAGATAAAAATAATACTGACAAGTTCAAATCACACGTAATTATACTAAAATATATAAAAAAAAAAGATAGAATATAATCATTGTATGTCACTGTTTTAGATATGATGACAGTGTGGACTGGACCCAAATAGCACAAATACGTTTCAAAGATGTGTTTAGGACGTCCGATCTTGACTTTCGAGATACCTTGAAGACGTTTGCAAAACTCTAACAGATGTCTTTTAGAGACAGGTTGTTCCTAATCAGAACGTCTTTAAGACGTCTTGTTTTGGTCTATTGTTCTTAAACAGGCGTTCAAGACATAACATGGACGTCTCGGATGCGTCTTAGGGACGTCTCGTAGGCATCATACAGACGTCTCGCAGGCCTATAATAGTTCACCGACATATACAAAGGCAGAATGTGATAAAAAACGAAATCACTGAAAAGCTCTTTACAGCCACAACTGGATCGATTTTTCCGTTTGGCTTCTCATGATTCTAATGAAACTAATAAAATACAAATTACCCAACTAACAAAGCGTCTTCTTCACTTGTTAAAATTGGCGATGGACCCAAGGTTTCTTTATGACCGGGATGTTTCAGTTTAAAAAATTCTAAAGTGGATTTCGGAATTCCGTACTTTCTTGTTTTCGGCTGTTCGGTAAGATTCTGTGCCGTTTTGTATGTCTCTGAGAGCGTATTCAAGTTTCGACTTGTCGTAATGCCTTAATTTCGGCATGTTGCTAGTTCTAAAATGTAGACCAAATATTAGAGACCCGAACTCGGCTACTGGACAGTTGTCCAATAACTATCAAATCTATTTCAAAGTTAATATAAATAGAAAAATATCCCTTCTTGTACCTATAAAGATTCACTTAATCGAGTGAGCACAGAACAACTTAACATTTTTCAGTGATTGGACAGATGTCCAATAACAGAAATTAGTTGGAAAAAAAACATGAGTGATTGGGCAGAACATATTTCTGAAATTATCAACTCAAACTTGTTTTTGATGCAATCTAAAGCTTGACAACAAATATCACTACGAGCGCAATACAAACATAGATGCTTACCTTGAGAACAAATGAAGAATTTTTGGTAGATACCTGAACCGCAACGCTAACACAAACTTTAGCGTCACAGTCAAGAACATAACCTATAAAATTTTCCCGCCATAATCACAGGCGCGGAAGTATGCGCAACCGAATAGAAATCTGTTAACATATAGAGATACCATCCGTCGAGAACTGAACAAAATACGCCATACAGAACTCTTATTATTCGGTTTTGAAACAGCAATGTCCAATAACTGTCAGGTCTCCGATAACTAACGATTTACCCTATTTGAATAAATAATATTTTTTAACCAAACAGAAATCAGTCTATTTTGCTGATTTTTAAGCACCATTCCAATGGCGTTTTTGTCGATAATCAAACTTTTCAATATTTAGCTTAAAATATGTTAATTTTGATGAAATACGAAAAAGTTGAAAAACGAGTCTCTTCCTGATTCTTTAATATTCCGACTAGGGTTTCGATACACCTAGGAAAATTGGTTCAGTAGTGCTCGAGGTATGCGACATTAAAGAATTGACGTGCTTACATTTATATATCTGAAATTGGCAAAAATTCAATTCAGAACTTTTTATTTTCAGGTCTCCGTCCTTACTGCCTTCCATTTCACCATGTCAGCAAATCAACAACCTTCTTTGGTCGCCATGAATATAATATGATGGGAAAAACAGTGACCTCTTTACCTCATCCTTGACCAACATATAGCAGCCCTTTGGATCATTTGCAGCTAGCTTGGGACGAGATAACTCAAGAAGCATGCAACTACGACTGGAAGAATGTATATGGAATCAGGGTGCCACAACACAATATTATAGAAATCTAGCTATGCAATAGATATTTTCACTTGAATATTTAATGACAGTTTGATCTTGCTCATGTTTAGCTGTATACAAAATATGCTGCCCAGGATACAAGTCATTCAGTGGTTAGTACAATGTACACACACATAAGTTTAGGTGCACTTGTCAACTAGTGCAATACCAATGTAGTCGAAAAAATAAAAAACGTATTGGACATTTTAAATTCGACCGACATAAAAAAACGAAAATCAAGAGAAATGTATTTAATGGGGCTGATTTGCAAATTAAATATTTGAAAAGGTTGTTTTTTATTTTAGAAATCTCGAGGTTCGTTCAACAAAAGACGAAAATATTACCAACAAATGTAAATTTCTTTCCATCTCTCATTTTCCCTGGATTTAGACCCGTACCGTCAGTCGTCCCTACAATTGCAGGGCGCGTTTATGGCCTCCTTGATTGTCATACTCCTTTCTCTCCTTCAAAAATTTCTAGATTACACTTGTCCCGTGTCAGCGTTAGCGCTCTCCTATTGTGAAGATATGTTTTCTTTTTAAATTGTAGGAAATTTCAGGCTGATAAAACATGATATAACTCAAAAGCAAGCATAATTTGATGCAAATAGATGTTTGTGACATTACCTCAAAATAGAGTTCTGACACGGAGAAGTAGAAAACTATGACAATCAAGGAGGCCATAAAGGCGCCCTACAATTGTAGGGACGACTGACGATACGGGCCTTAAACATCTTAAAACAAGCGAACCAAGATGCACTAGACATTTTTTTCGGTAGTATATGTCGTAGTTGCAAACATGAAAGTCCTACGTCAGTTCAGTTTGGGTTAGCTTATAGAAAAATATTTTGCTAAAAATATCTGCACACCGATACGTCCAAGGACGATTTTTCTGAATTTACTGAAAAGCAGTGAAGAAGAATTTACCTGACTATCGTTAATTCCGTCAAAAACAGTAAAGCTGTTCAATACCTAGATTATAGGAAACAAAGTCTTCCCACCCAAAATGCATTCACATGATGAAAAATGTCTTAAGGTTAGATTGGTTGAATTCTTGGACTCCAATAAGCTGTTATCTGAGAATCAGTTTGGTTTTAGGCAAGGTTTAAGCACTTCACATGCAGCTTACGAATTAGTGTCTAAAATAATGTGTCATTTAGATAACGGTGCGTCGCTTTGTTTTTGGATTTAGTAAAGGCATTTGACATGGTATCTCATCCTATACTCCTCCAAGCACTGGAGGGACATGGCGTTAGGGGTGCTGTGTTAAGTGTATTAGAGATTATTTAATGCATAGGATTCAGTGTCAGGATTGCGGACGTTCTAAGTGACCCAAAGACGGTTCAGCATGGAGTTCCACAGGGTACAGTACTTGGACCAATTCTTTTTAATATATATGTAAATTACCTCTGCAGTGTTGCAGTTGATATTGCCTACGCTGATGACATGGGACCTAACGGTGAAAAATTGAAAACTGATTTTGCAAAAATTAAAAACCATTTAAATTAACTTTCAATATAAAAAAAAATCATTACATATTGCCTTCTCTAGAAACATGGCTAATAGACCAGCATTTAATCAAATTAAGCTTGATAATATAGAGGAATGAGCCTTTGAAAGAAGTAAATGAAATTAAATTAATATTTGGGCGTTGTTGTCGATAAGCACTTGAGGTGGGACCGACATTTGCTGTATTTGAACAAAAAAACTAGATTTTTCATCCATAAATTCTACTCTCTTCGTAACATACTGAACATTAAACTAATATTGATGATTTACAAAGCACTTGTGGTTCCCCTTTTGGTATATGGCATAATTGTGTGGGGTTATGGGATGTACGGTTCAAATCTTGGCCAGTTAAAAGTGGTGCAGAACCATATTGTAAGGATTATTCTAAAAAAACCTAGACTATATCCCACTATGCAGCTTTATTATCAAGAAATAAACAATATTAAAATCTTATATATCCTTGCAGTATGTCGTTTTGAACATGCAAGTAAGAAATTAAATACAAATTATGTGTGTCCCACAATTATATGACCCGAGCAAACACCACTCATAACCTGAACGTCCCGCAGTCCAGGCGAGATTTAAATTTGCGTCTTCGTGACGTATCTTGCACCTAAATTTTCATTTCTGTTAATATCAGGAATATTGAAAATAATAAAAAATGTAATGTTTCGTTTAAAATGTTCTGCTGGGAAAATCGTGAACAATTATGCGTTTATTTTAAGTTGCTTTGAGGTAGAATGATCTGCCTATTTGTTTATTTTTTTATATAATTGTGATACTTTTTTCTGTGACTCTTTCAGGGGCAAGATATATTTATAAAAAAAAGTCCTAGATTGGCAAGAATTTATAAGTCTTTTTATTCAACTTTAAAGCATCAAAACAGCTAAACAAAAGTTATAAAACTACATAAAAAATAAACTAGAATAGTTATTTTAACAATTTTTGTGGTAAAACTGGTGGTACAGTTTATGTACCAGCGCACAATAACGAAACTAAAATATAAATTATTTTCTATGATAATCTTGAAAGCAAGTTTTGTCTTTTCCTAGACAAAGAGGTACTTTGCACACTGAGCAAATCCAGTCAGCCCTAACGTGCTTTTTTGAGGTGCTACACCTAGCACATCGGCGGGTGTCCCTTTTAGGTTGATGCGCACTCTCAGTGATTCTCACTTCCACAGGCACATATGGTTTTTGCTTTTTTATAGCCACACCAGTAGATGAAGATGATTGTCTTTTTTTTGCCACGATGGTTTCTGCAACCAAGAAATTAATCACCTCTCTTCTAAAGTCCTTCATTGACAATTTTGGCATGTTAAGTTCTTTATATAAGACAAACGAATTTACAAGTGCTGTATCGAGGAAATAGAAGAAAATGCGGTGCCACCACTTCTTTGCTTTCCGGTCAATCTTATAAACGTTAAGATTTTGATTGAATTTGTCTACAAAGTTCATGCTCTGATTATAATCGATCAATGCAATCGGACAGGGGACTTTCTCAATGACACCATTTTTGTTTTTCCCCTCAACTTCTGTAAAACCTGCGGGATCATGAAAATTTGATAAAAGGTGAACACTTCTTTTGTCACGCCATTTTATAGCTACCAAAATTAGTGTTCGAAGTTAGAATCTGAGATTCACCACGTTTTAAAGCTTTATCACTTGTGAAATTGGGAAGTAATTTCCTATTCGGATTGACTGTGCCACAAGCGTGAAGGTTTTTTGCTTTCAGATCTTCTAAGAGCTGGACGCTATTAAAAAAATTGTCGAAGTAGACAATGTGATGCTTGTCTTCCATGCCATTGAGGAGATATTTTACTACTCTTGCACCTAAAGATTTTTCTGTATCTTCTGATTTTCCTGTATATATCTGGAACTTCTGACAATATCCATTCTTGTTCGCCAGTATCCATACCTTATACCCTCTCTTGATCGGTTTTTTGGGAAGGTATTGCTTCAGAGAACTCCTACCCTTGTATTTAATCATTGATTCGTGAATGCTTACCTCCCTGGTTGGATTCATGCAACGTTCAAAATTTTGAGACAATGCTGTTAGCAAAGGCCTTAGCTTATACAGCTTATCGTAACCAGCTTCACCCTTTTTTGGTATTATTGCATTATCATTCAAGTGGATATTGGAAAGAAGCCAACTGAATCGTTTTACAGGCATCAATGAGCTTATATACGCGTCGCGAAATTCCGGGAAACTGCTCCAGTAATCTCTATAGCTGGGTGATTTCTTCAGCCCCATTAGTAAATTGATACCTAGAAAAGTTTTGATTTCCGTGCGGTTTGTGGTTTTGGGTTTGATAGATGTTTGCTGACTATACAAATTTGTCTCAAACACAATTAAATCTAACAGATCATCGTCAAAAAACAGCTGAAATAATTTCCCAGGTGTGGGTGATTCTAAATCCTTCACTATATTTGTGATTCCAGAATCGGCAACAAAATCTTTTGGTGATGGACTGGTTGACCAATCTCAGGTACTGGATAGTACACGTAACCGTGCTTGTAAAACTGCAAGTGGTTCGTCGTCTGAATCGCTATCGGTGTTTGCTATATTCAAATCAGCATTGGTTCTTTCTGTAATTTCATATTCATCTTCAGATACATCCACAATTGATTCAGAATCGGAAGGTATAGGATCTGCGTCCAAATTTTCGATCTCGTGCAACAACTCATCATATGTCATGCCGAGTAACTTGAAAGGTAATTCATTCATGGTAATGGATTGATTCCACCTGCAAACAAAACGTTTAGGGGCGAAGGTACAAATATCGTACCGCAACAATTCGTAGGCTATGAAAGCCAAAAAAAAATTAAAGCGTAGTTATTTGTCATTTGTATATTCTACAGATTGTACTGTTTGACTTAGCATGCAAACAACAAGAAAGCTCTATATTTTATTTACCTTTGTTCACCTCTGAACTTAAAAACACTATAATTTACGTATGAAAACAATTGACATAACCTCAAACCAGCCTACATTGAACGCCGCCGGCAGAATACTAAGAATGCGTTTCCCTAGCATCAAGTAAGCGCCAATCACCGTTGGTCGACGATTTAGACCGCTGCCATTAATACAATATGCATTTCGATGGTGATCTGATAGAACGACGTAAGCGCCATTCACAAAATTTTACAGGAGAGGTAGAAAACCGTTTATTTTGGACTCAAAGCATTTAAATACCCTGCTAAAGATTATTATTATGTCTATAATAGCGATAGAAATGATCTAATATATCAAATAGTATTGGAGATCTCTCCAAAATTCAAAAAACGCATATTTTATGTCGCTTACGACCTTTTACTGGCATCGTTTGGTACTTACGTCCAATGATACGGTGCTTAAGTCTCTTGCATTATATGAATTCTTGGTCATACCGGTGATTACGCGGTACATACGCATCTTATTGCAGTTTGTCGACAGACATTGATGTCGGATACGCATTAATAAAACTTGTGACTATAGCGTGGAAACTTGTTTGTAGCAGGTAGAGTTGGATGGGTAGAAAAGAATTTGGTGATCCTTTTTAAAGAAAATTTTTATTTTGTAATAACAAAAAAACAAAAAATTATTGTTTACCACCTTGGTGTAAAATATAACTAAAACATCAACTTTGATAAATAAAAAACTCTCCTCAAAACAAAAATAACTACACCTGTCATAACAAAAAGTCTAAAATGAAAAAACATGTTTTCTTAATACTTTTGTATTTCAGTCTTCAGTTTCATCATTACATTCTTCGATATCAGTTTCAGGCAGCGTGTCTGCCACACTATTATGCCCTTTCAAAGAGTAATACTCAGAATGATACATCAATGTACATCAATTGTGAAAGCTTTACAAAGTTCAATTAGGTTATCATATTTCTTTTTGTTTATCGGTAGTTCGGAATGATAAGCTTTAGGCAGATTTTTCACAGTCTTTGTCGGGAACAGTAGGTCAACGTGTGCTTGGTTCTCATACGTTGTTTTTATTTTTACATAGGTATTGTCTTTATCAAATATCATCTCGGCAACGTCAGAAATTGTTATGTCGTTCCCTTGTGCATCTTTCAGTCTTTTTTGTGAAGTAATGCGTTTCCAGTCTATTATAGAAGAATAATTGGTAACCTTCACGTTGTATGGTTTCGGTTTAGTTCTGGCATTGCGGAGTATCGTTGGCCATTCTGATGGAGCCTGTATAAACAAATTTTTCGATTTTCTTTCGATAGTAGCATGCATACTACCTACTGGCATGTACGTGTGACCTGAGACTAAGTATGTTATTGTCAGTTTCCTTATAGATTTTGAGATACTTATGAAGTACGCCAACATACAAATCATATACCTGTTTTTATTTTGTCCGGGACAGTTGTCACAAAATAAGTGCACGCTTGTTTTTTCTTCTTTCTGATCCAAATGTAACAGGTAGTCAAAAAGATGAGAACATATTTCATTCGCACCCCTTCTTCCATCTTTCTCGCCCCAAAAGTAACAAAACGCATTAGCAGTGACACTTTCATAAATTGTGAAGTTATAGCAAGCATATTTACTCGAAAATCCTATCAACATACTTTTGCCATGAGGAGTAGTCAGTACTTTTTGTAGGTCAAAGCTAGCAATCAAATTAGCCGAATCATGGTTGTCTTTCTGTTTTTCTAGAAAATATTTTTTCGCACTTTCTTTTTTTTCAATATGTCTTAGAAAGTCGAGTTCTTCTTTGCCATTCTTTAAGTTACTTGGTAAATGTCTGTAACGCTCGCATTTAATGCATTTATCTTTTTTTGGCACATGTATTCCTATGTTGTATTCTTTCTTTATGATTCTTTTAAAACTAGAAATGCTCATTTTATCAGTATTTTGATGAGAGTACATTTCATACAAGTTAGTAAACGTCTTTATATCAGAAGGTAGATAAAGCTTTTTAGTAGAGCCCCTACAATAATGTGACGGTACAGCTGGTAGTCCTTTGATAAACTGTTCAAGAAACATTTTTTGAGATGCTGTAATACTATGTCTAGGATTATGCTTGCCTCTACCATCGGTTATAGCTTGTATTTTCCCTAATATTGCATTCCTGATAATTCTTTGCGTGATTCCAAGCGTAGCTATAAAAAATTGTTGACATACCTTAACTTGAGTATTCCCCTTCATGAGGTACTGTTCATATGTAAACGTTCTTCTTGATGTAATCTCCAAAGTTCGTTCTCGTTTAACATAATCTATCTTGACGCATCCATTTATATAAGCTTTTTGAAGATTTCCATCACCCATTGCCCAGAAAGCATCAAATAATGCATGCCTTTCATCAAGACTGAAATCATTACAACTATTTTTGCATTTTTTACCAAAACATGGATTTGGTAGTAGTACTTTGGGGGGTTTGGTAATTCCTTTGTAGGTTTTGTACTGTAAGCCATGAGCCTTCTTTTTTTATTTTTCAGCTTACGACTTGGTCTTTTCTTCCTTTTCCATGTCTCAGATGATGTACTGCTAGATGAAGATGATGCTGATGATTCACGGTGATCTTGGTTTGGAGATTCATCGATTGCTGATTCACATCCAGATTCTGAAGAGCTGCTACTATATGGTACAAGTTTTTTTGTGGTAATGCGCTCATTATTCTGTGTCAGATCCTCTGGTACCTCTAGTTGCTCACATTCCAGAAAAGCAGGGTCAGGAATTTCTTCAAGATAGATAGCGCCTTCGGTCATGATTTCATGTTCGGTGCTCGTATATTCGATAGATGTATTTTCAGTTATGTTTCCTGAGCTGCTTTGAAATATGATGTCGAAGTTTAATGCCTCGTTGATCATATTGTCTTCCAGGTAACTTTGATCAGTTTCATCTTCCAGCGCCATGCTCACAATTCGTTTTCCGCGGCTAGACATTCTGAAAAAAACACTTGCGTAAGCGCCACATGTGAATGAAATTTTAAAGTTGATTTGCAAATTAAATAAACCGTTTTTATAAAATCCAGCAATCACTTTATTTCAAGTATTACTCATATTCATGCTATTTGATTCAATATAACTAAATACCTTCATCAGTATCAAGCAAAGTGAAAATAAAGGTTACATAGCGTTATGACGCTTACGCGTTTGTACTTGAACAGACTGAATGCGTAAGCGCCACATCTTTGTGATCATTATTTACAGTTACAGAATCATACTAAATGCTTTAGGATGTTGCAACAACCACTAGATACCCTATATAAACCAAAATATTCCGATAAACCTTATAACGTATAACTTACCTGTATCAGGGCTGGAGGTTGAGAGCACGTGCTGCATAAGCGCCAACTTGACTGAGTATTTTGAGGTTATGGCTGGTGCATTGTCGCTTACACATACTTAATTGCGAATATCTTGGTAACGGCTGTTTACGAGACCACCGGCAATCGACGCGGCGTGTTTTCTTCTATGAGTAAACATGAAAATCCCAATTTCCGAATTTTGGCGCATACGTCGTTTTGTCAGATCGTCATCGATTTGATTAAGTGGTACATTTTTTAAGCCACTGCCCATGTAAACGTTTTTTTTTTTCCGGTACACTTTTAGTACCACTTACCTTGAAAGAGTTAAGTCAAATCTATGACTTTCATTCATTTTGTCTATACTGTGTTTCATGTTTTTTTGGGATTGTTAAATAATTTTATACAAGAATATATATTGTGCGATATTAATTTAATTCCTGTATTGGATTGTTTTTGGGGATACAAGTTTTTGAACTTAGGCGTTCATATAGAGAAACCTTGCGTTTGTTCATATATATGTATACACAATGTGTTTGGTCACGACATACCGATATTTGAGGGGGATATTTTTCAGCCTATTTTTATTGTCAAATCCACCCCCAATAATGTCCTACCTCACCCCTCTAGAAAGGATCCATACTGCTACGAACGAAATTAGGGCTGACACGGATATGGTCTGCCGCTCAACACGACACATTGTTTTAAGAACAACAATGTGCATAACCAATATTGGAGGATATTTTGAACAGCTTCTGTAACATTAAACATGTCCAAACTCTATATAAGAAACATTGATTTGTCACTTTTATGAATAAAAAGTTTGAAAACAATTTGCATTTTATTACACCCATTTTGACCCATGTTAGATAGCATTTATTGCTTAACGTAGACTACTTAGGATAACAAAAAGCTGTAGAATTAGCACCAAAAAAGTACAACTTTACATACTAGTTTTTGAATGGTGTGCGGAAATGTAGAAAATAATCAATTTTCTTCTATATTTTTTT